CACTTCCTATCTCACCTCTTCATGTCTGTGTCAGCCTTAGGAGGGAAGCAGTAGAGCAGCCCCTGCATCAATTCAACTGCAACTTTTCTGCTTTTCGCTATCAGGACCGCGTTTGGGCCAGCATCAAATGTGTAAGCAATCTGTCCAATTTTCACACAAAAACTAGTCGCTCTGAGAATGAGATTAGGATCAGAAGATTTGTCCAACACATTTCCTAGTCTCAAATCACAATATTTGGATGAAACCAGTTTGAAACTCAGTGCTCTTTTTGAACAATGGAGTTAGGGCATACATACCTCTGGTGTCCCGGCAGAGCGGTTCCACTTTTCAACTAAGCTGATTATCCTGGAATTACCAGTTTAGCTGATTACGATTAAAACCACGACATTGATAGCTTAAGCCGCAAATGACGACCAAAAGAAACAAAAGAAGAGAAGGAGATACCTGTGGGAAGTGTCATTCATGTAAAATATCGGTGGAGATGTATCCATACAAACAGCATGAAACTGGTTACTGTCTGCACACGTCAATTTTGCAAAAGATGTGAAATCTCGATTCTTTATAGCTTCTTCCATTTGCAAAATCCGTATTGGCACAACATCCTAAAGAGAAATTAAATCAGAGCATTAAGTTGAGGGAAATATTGATTTTTTAAAGTTAAGCAAGCATAACCAGAAACACTATCATATATTTTCTCCAGCAAGGTTTTACAGGTGATACAAAACTATTATCAAACATTAGAAAGGAAACATACTTTTGCTCTGTGTTGTAAAAGCAAACTTGTCTCGACACTCTCACGCATTCCTGAAGTGCTGCTTGTTTCCTTCTCTCGTGAACTAACCACAGCGACAATGATAACAAGATCATCCCAGTGCTTTTCGTCTGCCAGTTGAACTGCAACGCTGTCATTTCCATCTTCTTTCTTTCCCATGTTCCACTTGACAAAACCCCCAAATAAACTACGGCAAGCACTTCCTGAACCTTGCCTACATGGAGAAATGAAACCAGTAGCACTTAATATCTAGAGGAATGTCTGGCTACAAATAATTCAATTAAAAAGCACATAAAAACATGGAAACTTATAGAATTACAACGGATGCACCAATAACAATCACCGTGAGAAAAAAGGGGAAAAGTAGCCCGTACAATTAACATGGAAGATACTAAACAGATCAGTAAGGGTGACAATGCAGGTGAGGTAACGTCAGTCATACCTGGCTATAGCAGAAAGTTGGCTTGGATCTTCATTTACATTCATCAACTTTGCAAGAGCAAAAACTGTATAGCAAGAGCAGTAGTTATATACTCCATTGAACTGTTTTCAAAAACAAAGATCTGACCTAGAAAATCAGTTTACCACTGGAGGAAAGAGATGGGATCAATGTCATTTTTTTTTTTAAAGTTGATACTAAAGTTGATCCATTATAAGCTAAATAATGAAGAAAAGGATAAAAGAGATAGAAGGCATATGAGCAATAGAGAGAAGAAAGCCTTGTGACCACTACTAGAAACTATATTGTGGCCTGGTCTTGTTTCATGCTAAGCAACTACCACGGAGAGAAAAATGAGAGTAGTACCTAGACAAGCAAAACCAGCTGCTGAAGATGCTAAGCCAGCAGCAGTAGGGAAATTGTTATAAGAAGCAATGTGCAGATGCAATTTCTCCCAATCTTTCTTCCCTATCTTAATACCCTTCACTTCATCTTCAACATCATCACCACGACTTCGAATTTCCCTCAAACAATTCTGATACCTACTTCCAGAAAGAGAGATTTCCTACACTAGCATAAAACAACTAATAAGAACCCAAACCCCCAACAACAAAGACTCTCAATCCTTTGTAATGAAAGCAAAATTACCTTGCCATTGAGCCACATTCGATCTCGATCAAAGGAAGGACTAACAGCGACGGTGGTGAGTGTACAGAGATGATCAGGATCAAGAGTGACGCTAATGCTATCGTTGATCGGAAGAATCCGAACCTCATCTCTTTTTCCCCAGTATTTGATCACGGCGATATTCGTTGGCGTCTGCGCAGTCACCATTAACACCCAATTCTTCTCCTCCGCCATAGTAATCCTTAAGCTTTTCGTCTCTCTCTCAGAGATCTATTAGCTTCACAAAGTTTTTTCAAATACAAAAATAAAAGAAATAGTGACGGAGAATTCGAAAGAAAGAGCCTTACAGGTTTCCAAGTGAGGTGGGAGAAGGAAATAAGGATCTGTTTGGTAAACACTAAAATTATATAAGTGCGTTTGCGTTTGCGTTTTCATATCCGATTTTTGCGAAAATTCGAA